CACCAGGATGGCTAGAATGGAAATGGAAAATAGCAAATGCTAGGGAACATGCAGAGAAACCCAGGCCATTATACACTGCGGGTGGGACTGCAAAACGGTTCGGGTGCTGTGGAAAATGGTTTGGAGGCTCTGCAAAAAGGTAAGCATAGAATTACCATATGATCCAGCAATTGCACTTTTAGGCACTGCTATGATTTGAATGTTAGCGTCCATCCTTTCCAAAATTCACATTGAAACTTAATGCCCAATGCAACTGTATTATGAGGTGTGGCCTTTGGGAGGTGAGCCTCATGAATGGGAAAAGCACTTTATAAAAGAGCTGGATGGAGCTGGCTACTTTCTGCCCCCTCGCCGTGTCCGCAGGGTGAGGACAAGTTCCTCCCTCCAGAGGACGCAGCACCACAGCGTCATCTTGGAAGCAGAGAGCAGCCCTCACCAGACACCAATCCTGCTGGGGCCTTGACCTTGGACTTCCCAGCCTCCAGAACTGTGAGAATACATTTCTATTGTTTATAAATTACCCAGCCTGTGGTGTTTTGTTACAAGAGCATAAACGGAGCCAAAAGAATTGGAGAGAGGGACTCAAACATACATGTACAAGCCCATTCATAGCAGCACTCTCCTCAACAGCAACAAGGTGGAAACAGCCCAAACATCCATCAACAGAGGAATGGATAAACACAATGTGGCCTAGCCGTGCAAGGGACTGTCACTCTGTCTTTAAAGCAAATGAACTAGTGATACATGCCACAGCACGCATGAGCCTTGGAAATGTTATGCTCAGTGAAAGAAGCCAGACACAAAAGGCCACAAACTGTGAGGTGCACATACGTGAAATGTCTACGATAGGTAGATCCATAGAGACAAGAAGCAAGTCGATGGTTGCCAGGGATTGGGGGAGGGGAGAATGGGGAGCGACTAGTTAACAGTAAAGGGTTTTACTCTGGAGTAATGGAAAGTTTGGAACTAGACAGAGGTAGTGATTGCACAGCACTGCAAAAGTACTAAATGCCACCGAGTTATTTACTTTAAAATGGTTGGTTCTGTGCTATGTGAATTTCACCTCAATTTATAAATGCAGTAATTCACGGTGGCATGTAGCAGATGGTATCCTCGAGGGGGCAGCCCTCATTACAGAGATGTTCTCTGGAGAGCATAGGACACTCAGGGAGGGATGTGGGAAGCTTCAGAGTATCTCCTGGTCATCAGCAGGATGTCCTGGTTTATGCACTGAGGTCCCAGTGTCCCTCTCAAAAGTATCCTGGTGTGAACCACAGATGAGTCCTCCAGCCTTTCGGCTCCTGCAGGGCCCAGCGCTGCCCACTGCCCCTCCCAACCTCAGGACACAGGCCTACCTGGGTGTTGCACATCTCAGCCTGGAGGTCAGCACCAATGCACACATGTCCCCCAAAGGCAGGTCTGAAAATGCCCCCGAGACATGAGGGGTAAGAGGTGACAACTGCCCACAACCAGTGAGGGGGCTGCCGGCCGCCCTCCCTCACGGGAACAGTGTACCCTCTGCATGGTACCTGGGGTTGTCACACTGTCGCCTCCTGGTGACCACACCTCCTCCACAGGAGCGGGAGCAGGGACTGCGAGGGCCCCAGCTAGACCAGTGCCCATGTACCACCGCCACAGGGGCCAGCTCTGCCAGGGAGCGGCAGTGACCCTTGGAGCACCACTGCAAGGCAAGGACAGCCTCGTCTCCCACCCCATAGCCCCCCCACACAGGGACTCCACACACACAGGAACCCCACCCACAGGGACCCCCAACAAACTGAGCCTTCACCCACAGGGACCCCCCCACACAGGGATTCCACACACACAAGAAACCCACCCACAGGGACCTCCGACACAGGGACCCCCAACATACAGGGACCCCCCTCCACACAGGGACCCCACCCACAGGGGTCCCCAAGATACAAGGACTCCAAACAGAGACCCCAACACATATGGACCCCCAACATGCAGAGGGACCTCCTAAACAGGGACCCAACATACAGGGACCCCATACACAGGGACTCCACACATACAGGGACTCACCCACAGGGAACCCCAACACACAGGGATCCCACACACAGGAACCTCCAACACGCAGGGACCCCCTCCACAGGGAACCTCCCCCACAGGGACACCTCCCACAGGGACCCCACACACATGGACCCCCAACACAGAAGAACCCCACCCATGGCTACCACCCATAGGGACCTACCCATGGGGAATTCTTACACAGGGACCCCCACCCATAGGCTCCCCCCATACTCACAGTCACCACTCACCCCCCACACTCCCCATTCTGCTTGAGAGCAAATGCTAAAGGGAAGAGGGCAGACCACCAGCCCAAAGGACAGAGGAAGGGTCTGGCCAGGCCCAGTCAGAAGAGAAGGGACAGAGCTGCTCAGGGACAGAGTGGGCAGGGGGGAGGGGGAGGCTCCGGATCCAGACAAAGGGTTTCAACCTCCCTCCCGCCTTGGCAGTGACAGAGCAGTTCTTCTGACTACTATTATTGGTCCTGAAACCTAAACCCCACTTGTTCTTCTGTACAGGGTGGGTGAGCATTCCGTCAGGTAATGTCCACAGCACTCTCCCACCTGACCAGTGGATCCCCAGGACTTTCTGGGGCTCTCTGCCCACCCCTCGATTATAACCTCCTACCTCCCACCTGGAAATTAGGCTGCCAGGCTGGAGGTGCCTCGTGAACACACACGCCTGCACACACCTCTGCACACATACACACACACACACCTGCACACGCATACAAGCCCTGCACACACATACACCTGCACCCACACACACACACCCACACACACTTCTCTGCACATGTGCACAGCTGCACATGTGCACGCACACTGGCACACATGCCTGCATGCACAAACCTGCTCACACATCCCTGCACACACTCCTCTTCACATATGCACACACCTGCACCTGCACACACACACACCTGCACACATGCCTGCACACACACACCTGCACACGTGCGCATACCTGCACACGCACACCTGCACACAACCTGTGCACACACACACATGCCTGCACCCACACACACACATCCGCACGTGCATATACCTGCATCCCCCAACGCCTGCACACCTGTGCACACACACCTGTACACACGCACCTGTGCACATGCCTGCACACACCTGCCCATGCACACACACATGAGCTCTCTCATTCACTCTGCTCTGACCTTCTCCACGCCACATTCTGTCCCGTCCAGGAGAGGAACAAGGAGGCGGCTACAGCTGCTTTGGTCCAGCGGGTCTGTGTGGCAAGAGAGAGCCTGGCACATGTCCTAAGAGGAGAGACAGGTGGCCATCAGAGCCTGTCCGGTGAGTGTCCAGCCTTAGCTGTCCCTCCCAGACCACAGGACACACTGACAACGCTGGTCCATGGGACAAGGCAGGGCTGACTCATCTTTCAGAAGAGGGATGTGACCAGGGCCCACTGTGCTTTTAGAGGCCCATGAAAATGTTTTAATTCCTTTTAAAGTCGGAGAAAAAATAAATGTTCTATTATATAATATTAATGTTTGTATTTTTAATAACACTAAGGTTTATACACTTTGTAAAAGTACTAAGATATAATTTTGAATATTTTTAATGAAGGAAGAGGCCCACCAAAGCATAAGTGCCTGGAGCCCATGAGTAACCTGCCGGGCCCCGGGAGGAAGTCTGTCTTTCCCGGGCCTGACCCCATCATCTTCCCTCCCCCTGCCAGCACACTCCTGCTGGGGGTTCAGTTTGGAGGCCACTTACTCCAGGAAGCCCTCCAAGCTAAACCCAGCCCCAGTGGTAGGAAGGCCTTAGTAACTGTTTAGGGCTAGTGTCCTCACTCGGGAGTCCGGGGCACTGGGACCACAAACAAAAATGCGGGGGTGGGGGGGGGGATTAAAAAAAAGTTAAGAGTGGGCCGAGCCCGTGGCGCACTCGGGAGAGTGCGGCGCTGGGAGAGCAGCAGCGCTCACAGCGATCACTGGCTGAGCGCGGTGCGGCTGGTCTCAAAAAGGACAAAAAAAAAATGTTAAGAGTTTGGAGAGGCAACTGACAGCATTAAACCTCCCCGCACCTGGCACCCAGCAGGTGCTCACAGTGCACGTGGAGGCCCTGAGACGGACAGTGCAGACAGCACGGCCGGCCCCTCGCCGCCACCGGCACTCACGAGGTGCTCCCTGGCGAAGGTGCAGGCGACGGCGGCGGGGCCGAAGGCGACGCGGCACTGCTCCTGGGCGCCGTAGTAGAGGCCTGGCTGCGCCTCGGGCGGGCGCCCCGCGGG